ATTCTATATTGTATCAAAAATATAATATTGAATAAAGCTGATAATAATAATAATAATAATAATAACTACTAACTTGTGTATAGCACAGATGAGCTAATTAATAATCATTTTGATTATCAATAGCTAATAGAGGCCAAAAGCGATAAATTTACGGTGATATGGTAAAATTTTGTCAATGTTTCAAAGCTATCCTTATAATTACATCCAAGGCAGTTAAATGTTATGAAAATCTTTAAAGGTGATAGGTTTAAAGATTATTACGACAAACGTTTTGTAGAGATTTCGTGATTGACACCACAGATTGATCTAAGTTAAACACTGAGAATAAGAAAGCTCTGGATAGTTGTTTCATCTTAGTAATTAACTTTTCATGAGTGTTTCTTCACTACTCCACTCGGGCTTTGATCTAGGACCTTCAGGTTTTTCAGCAAATTCTTAGACTTTGGACGATTGCGCTGAAATCCACTAGTGTGTGTCAATTAACTTGAGATATCGCTCAGCCTAATATGGTTATAATGATCATGTGTTCACTAATGGATAATTTCAACAGGCCATTCTCACAGTCCCAATGGTGCACCGTGACCTGTTTATTTCAACCAAATCATACGCTAGGTAGTACCCACCGACGTCACTGAAAAATAGCTGTGCAGTATTGTGAGTTGAATGAAGTTAGACATGTCTACCATTGGATGCTGGTTTGATAATCGAAAGGTTAGGAGATTACTGAGAGACCTGAAGATTCTGAGTCAAATCTCTAGTGGAGTTGAAGACAGGCACTGCTGAAGAGTCCCATAATTGGGTAAATCAACTATCTAGTACTTCCTGATTTCCGATGAGCATCTAACCAAGATCAGTTCGAGAAGTAAAGTATGAAAACAAAAATCTAATTTAATGCGTTAACTTGCACTATGTTTACCTAGCTCATAAATGAAGCCACATTTACTCGATTTATATAATAGTGTATACAAAACCAATGCATAGATGATCTTGAAAATCTTCTATATCATAGCTTATAATTACTGTCAATTAAATGAACTGGAAATGGGATTGTTCCTTAAAAAGAGAATCAATGATAAATGTACATCAAGAGATTTTGTAAAGGATAGATAATATAGCAGAAAATATAACAGAATTTATTCAACAATACCAACAACGTGATAAGTGGAATTCACTTTAACAATGATATAATCCAATAATATTTGTATAATAAACATCAATAATCAATTAGCCTATACTAGTCCATATTATATTCCCAGAAACGTTTGGAAAAATATGTACTTTTTATGTAAAATTGACTTTATTAAAAAAAAAACTATGGTTGTAACTAGATGTTTGAAATCTTGCAAATAATTAGTAAATTTGATTGAATAAATAATGAAAACAATCCAATCTATTCGAATTCTTTCAATTGACATATTTCTTTTTGACAGAACAAAACACAAGTATATTGAAATTCATATAGGAAATTAAAATACCATAGTTTTATACTACTAGGTAAAATATATATATGTAATAGAATAGAAACATTTATAATAACTAACTTAATAAAATAATTTTAATCGTTGAGATCATGAGTCAATTGAAGCTAGATCACTATGGAAATTTCGAAGCACTGGAGGGCTGTTTCGTCCTACTGTGGGACTCCTCAGCAGTAGGGGTCCACGAGCTCGTCTTGCGAGATTCGAAACAAGGACCTAACAGTCTCACACGCGAGCGCTTAACATTCAGACCACTGAGCCGGCTATCATCTAACGGTGTTAATGTCTAAATTCAACTGATCCACAAAATTGAGCCACACGTCAATCATTGTCATCAGTGAGTTAATATTTCACAACACACCCGGTTGAGGCCAACTGGTCACTACTTCTCACTAAAACTTGATGGAATACTTCTTGAAGCTAGTCACTAATGAGTATATGTTGATTAATATCAGAAGAGATTTTTCTCAATATTTTGGTTATTTAATAATAGAGATCATGAGTCAATTGAAGCTAAACCACCATGGGAAACCTTAAAGCACATTTACTTCAGAATATACATAATTCTTATTCCTCATGATAAAAATTGTCCTATTGTATTGATTTCGTTTAATTCTTCGTTTATCTTCGTTGACAACATTTTCCTCAATTTTTTGATACTGAATAATCGAATAAATGCTAAACAAGTATTACATCGACGTTGCTACGTAGTTATTTGATTTTTATCAATTGAAAGTAACAAACATAATGAATTGCGTGAACTTATTTCATATCATATACTCTGAGTCTTTTAAATACTCCATAGGAAGACATATATTAGACAGAGTTCATTCAGTGAATCCTATTACTGAACCAGGAAACCAATTACATAAAATGAGTTTATTCTTTATCTTAATTATTGGTTTACAGTAATAGTCATTTTAATAGCTGAATCCATGAGTCTATTCGACATAGATCACCATAGAAATCCTGAAATCACTGGAAGGTCGTTTCGTCCTGATATGGAACTCCTCAGCATTGTGCATCCACGATCCCACCCAGGACCTATCAGTCTCACGCGCACGGATGAAACGGCTGTCTAGTGATTTCAGGTTTGCCATAATGGTCTAGCTTCGATTGACACATGAATTAAACTATTAAATTACTATAATAACCACAAAATCCCTCACTGATAATAGTCATTTTGCTAAAGGAATGAATCAACATAGTATGTATTGCAACAAATATACGAAGTTTGGATTCTATAAGAAAAAACAGTTTAACAATTACACAACTCCATTTAAATAATTCCTATTATTACAAACTGTAGCATATCTAAGTTTGTGTTGACAAATGGATAACAGATATTTAGTTTGGTTACATCTATAGCCATACATCCTCAATTCTAAAGTATATTAGTAGTCTAGTTTTTTTAATGAGGAAATCAGTGAAAAACTTTTATCTTTAACAAGTTTTCTTCATGTTCATCAAATGATTAAAATCTTATTTATAAACTAATTTGATGGGAAGAATACCACCTACCAAATATTCTTTAGTATAAATCTCCAGGTGAATTCGAAAATTGCTTGTTTTTTTTCCATTGATAATGATGCTATTGTACTATACTTCTGCTGTGAAAATATGTGCATTTAACAACCAATATTTATCTAAGCAATATAATTATGTAAATTAGTGTTTTTCAATAAAAATGTATCTATGTACTTTTAAAATGGGTTCTTACCTTTTATTGTTACTAGCCGTATAATCACTGTGCACATATCATTAGCACTTATAATTTTATAGTACTGTTTTCGATTAACTAATTTTTAGTACACAAAGTTCAGGCAAGGAATCCCTTTTCCATTGAGATCATTAACCGACCCATGTTAGACCACCATTGAAAACCTGGAATCACTGATGTTTTATTGAAGGATAATAAGAGTTCCATATGTGAATCTTTATCGACTGAGATGGTTGCACCACGTGGTACACATTTCTGAACACCGATTACCATGGCGCGCAGTGCTGAATAGTGTTGGGGATGGTTAGGAGAAAGTTAGGAGCGGCCAAACCAAAACGTGGCATCAGTCCTTAAGCATCTAGTCTGAACCATTTTGGTAGATGCAGACTGCTTGGTTTGCGTCCGCGTGAATATCGTAACCAATGGTTGGAGACTCTTGGTAACATGGTTCAGAATAGATCACAATGGCGTTGATGTATACACTTGCTGTCTTCCCTTAAAATATGAGATTAGAATCGCTTCATATCTTTCCACTATTTCTTTCTTGTTGTACTATGCAATCTTTGTTTTATATGTTACCACCACTGAATTAACTACTTCTATGAATCCGGTTTTTATGTTGTTGTTCTAATGAGGTTTGGCAACTCGGATCGATGCGTATATGTGCCTGGTCTGACTGAATGACTGAAGAGCTCCGTGATTAAACCATCCATCGAAGACAGTAGAACTCCATTAAAACCATCCACTTAAGCTGTGAATCTTTCTCAATGTCTCAATAAGAATAATAATCCATTATCCTTATCTTTATACACTTTTCGCTGGTTCTACAATTTAAATAAATTTCGAATAAATATAAACTGGTCATTGTTTGACTAGATGAATTTACATTTATTCTTAATTCAATAATTGCAGTTTAATATCAGAAGGGTTTTTGTGAATATTATAGTAATTTCAATGGTTGAGATTATGAGTCGATTAAAGCTAGACTACCATGGAAGACCTGAAATCACTGTAGGCCGTTTCGTCCTATTGTGGGACTTCTCAGCAGTGCGCATTCATGATCCCGCCTCGTGAGGTTCGACCCAAGGACCTAACGGTTAACGCGCAAGCGCCTAACCACTAGACCACCGAGCCAGCATCCAACGTCTGTTGTGAGATAGTAACTCACTAAAGACAATGGTGGAAATGTGGTTCAATTTCGTGGATTGTTTGAAGTCAGACATTAACAACGTTGGATAACAGCTCAATGGTCTAGTGGTTAAGCATTCGCGCGCGAGACCGATAGATCCTGAGTTCGATTCTCGCAGTTAGGATCGTGAATTTGTACTGCTGAGGAGTTCAGTGGTTTCAAGTTTTCCATGGTAGTCTAGCTTCAACTGACTCATGATCTCAACCATTCAAATTATAGTTTACTTTAAAAAAAAGGTTAATCAAATCTTCAAAGTTAAATGAATAAAAGTCATTTGATGTTGTACACTTATCTATGTGTATATATGTGAACAATAGTAGTTTTTTGTTTGTTCTGTTTAATAATAGGTTACATCCACATACAAATCTTTTCTTTAAAATATGAATGATATAAAATAAAAATAATGAATGAATTCTAAATAGAGAGAAAGACTTTCTTACATAATGTAATGTCAATAAACAGATATGTACATATAGAGATGAAGAAAAGATATTATCTAATGCGTTCCGATAGATAGATAGATAAATTCATACGTACAAGATAAAAGTCAAATTACAAATATAGATACATTTACACTTGCACTCATTACGTATATATATATGGTTAGATAATATTAACTTGTATTCGTTGAACTGAACTGTAGAATTTGTTCACGTAGTACACCAATTTCTTCACGGTAATTTTTAGTTATATTCATCTAGATTAAAATAATTGGGAAGAAGAAAATATGAAAAAAAAACTAGTACTGCAATAGAATAATATAATCTTCAATTGTCAATCACCATGAGACTGAAATCAAAATTTATTCATATAGAAAAATTATCTTCATTTTTTATTGTTTGCTTGAATCTTCTTATTGATGTTTAGGACCGCAATTGTGTTATATTTGGTTGTCGCAATTGGTATATCTGGTCGTCGCTGATTTTTGTGCCGGAAAAACTCTGATCCCTTATACTCGGAATGAGGGTTCTCTGCGATTCTCACGATGCGAAAGTAAGAACACAAAGACTGGTATAAGTGAAGATTTATTAGCCCCAAAACACTATGACGACGGCGATGATGATAGTGATAATGAATAACAATAGTCTCAAATACACTGGGGTTTATATATTGATTGTACTCCCATTTTGATTAATAATTAGGATTAAATCATATACTCAGTTATAACAAATCACATACTGAGCATAGTTCATGTCAGCTGAATACAAGAATATCGTATATTATACAGAAGAAAATATCATACTGGGAAAACAAATCAAATAGTACACTGAATGATCCTCACGTTGAATCAAAACGGATGTCAATGTTGAATAAAACTCATAATGAGTAATTCAATCAAAGTTGACTTTTCTTTCCATCATATCGAATTGATCAGTCTCTTATTGTCATATATGCATTCTGTGCGCATTGCCTCGATATTGCTTCAAGTCACAGGGATTATAAACAAAGATAGATGGAGGCTAGTAGTGGAGTTTTGTACGCAAGTTCTGTCCTATTTGAGACTCGTCAGCTGGATGTACCTGAATTATAGAGTTGATGTTCACTCTGAGACTCGATGCAAGCACATCTAGCCGACGAGTCTCAGACAGGACGAAACGCCGTCCTGAATTCTATTGATAGTCACTACCCATCTCTGCCTAGAAGAATTATCTATTGTTTTAGTTGAAATATCACTACATCAAATGTGATTGATAAAGTATGAAAACTAAAATTATGGTTAAAGTAATAACATTGTTAATCCATCCAATAAATTTCAAAGGTATATTAAAAAATGATGACGTTCTTTAGAATTATATAAAATTCTAGTTTTCATCGTTTAGACAAAATTTATTATTCCATAGAAAACATTTCACTAATACTATTTATGACATTTGGAAGAAAATCTTTATTTTAATTTTTGTCTAACTCCGCCTGGAGCCCTTCTAGGGCTACTGCCGGTCCAATGTCCGAATAAAAGAGGAGGATTATATAAGGGGTTAGCGACTTCATCCCATAGAAAACCAATTCGCTAAAAAGAACACTAACCAGAAGAAGTAATCCATTTATTTTTGTCTGTGCATTATACTAAATTAAGGGAATTACAAATTAAATGCATTTAATTAATTTCTTATTAGAATTAACCAACATAATAATAATAGTATACTTAATCTGTTATAAAAAGAATATGATACGCTTACTAATATTGTTTCCCATCGGTCTGCAAACTGATCTATCGTTTCTACAAGTTGATTTGTTTCATTCCTGTTTTTTTTAAAAATTTCATTGATGGGAGTGATAGAAATAGAAATACGAGAAATACTCATAGAATTAAGTAAATCGACGAAAAAAAAAGAAACACACTTCGACATACAACGATAAAACTGATCTATCTATTGATGGTCAAATGAAAGGAGTAGAAAGTTCAAAATTCTTTGTTAATAAATCTTAAGATTTATGATGTCTACATAAAACATACACTCTTCTCTTATTTATAATGGTAATAAGCGATAAAGGTGGTATGGTTCTAGTGCATATATATACCGGCTGATCAAACGAAAAGTTGTCCACATTTTAGATTCTTGTTGATAAACTATCTTATTAGAAATCCATTAATTTGCCCTTTTGATCGTGCTCTTATTAGTGCGAATAATTTTGGGTAGATGAAAAACTTGTTTTATTTGAAGCTATCTTCAGATAAACTGATGAATATTCTTAAAAGAATCTGTTTAAGAATACAAGAATATTTATAAGATATAGAATAGTACTAGTCACATGAGGATTGGAAAGAGTAATCACAGATAATCATGGGTCAGGTTTATCTGTTCCACAAGAGTTTGTATTTTAAAGTTCATGGTGTCGGTCGATTCTTCTCAGTACTTAGCAAAACAAAGGTTCGTTTGCATATGAAATCAAGTGTGTAATATTCAGCTAAAACGTGGAGCATCTAAGAACAGTTTTGGAATCCCTCGCAGTCTCCCGGAGCTACCTGATTTACACATCTGCTCAGAATCAATAATTATCCAGAAATCTTGCTTATAAATGCAGTCATTAATTGTCCTAACTTTGTCACTTTTCAAATGAGCTAGTTTACAACTTATTTTAGTAAAGAACCATCTTATTATTTGGTGGAAACTAGCATCATGACGCTTAAACTTCGTAGTAGCTCATTATGTCTCTCATTCATATTTGAAACATCACTATATTTCATGTAAATCTGAAACCCAGATACTCTATCGAGGCTGGAAAATAAAAATCCATATTATTTATGTTTATAACGTATGAACTGATTGTTCAAACACTCTGAACTCAAGGATACCTAATTAAGGTCTCATATACACCAAGATTTCGTTTCCTTAATAAGGGATTATCGGAGGTGATTTTGTTGACAGTATTCAGTGAATACTAGGTAAAGACTCTGGAAGTGGATAAGGCATACACTGGAGAAACTACTAAACTGCATCACGATGTAATAACGAACTTGGAATCCTGAGGGGAAATGGTAAGGAGGAAAGACCAAGGAACACATTGTGTCAGCAGTCGGAAGCACACTCCAAAAGAATGAATAGCGAACTGAAAGGATTGTCTAGGACAGAGTTCTATAGAGAATGGTGATGGGAGGCTTATGCTCCTCCACGATGAGAAACCAGCGTAGGTAAATAAGTAGGTAATTCAGTATATATGAAGTTTGGTGTTATGAACACAAGGTATCATGGATTTTTATGGGCTAAAAGATTGCACTGCAAAATGTTACTTATAAAATGATTTTCAAAGTATAAAATCGGTGACAAGTTTAATGTAAAATGCTTTGAATCGTTTTAATACAACACAAAGCTTCAAAGATTCCAGTGATCACCTTTCAGTTATTACTTCAATCTTATGAATGTAATCAACGAAACTAAAAATATTCCCGGATACCATCAGCAACAGTCTTTTGTGGGAGAGAACAAACCAGCTTCCAGCTGAAGAAGAAATTAGGAAAAGACGATGGAAATGGATTGGAAATACATTACGCAAATCATCAAACTGCATCACGAGGCAAGCCCTAACTTGGAATCCTAAAAGGAAACGGAAAAGAGGAAGGCCAAAGAACACATTACGTGGGGAGATTGAAGCAGATATGAAAAGGATGAATTACAACTGGACGGAGCTAGAAAGGATTGCTTGGGACAGGGTTGGATGGAGAATGCTGGTGAGTGGCCTATGCTCCTTGACGAGGAGTAACAGGCGTAAGTAAGTAGTATGTACAGTGAAACTCTGAGTATAAGGAAAGTAAAATCCTAAAAAAAAAATTTAAAAAAACCGATTTTGTAAATAGGATTAGATTAAGATTAGAAAGGCTACTCACTTTCCACCAATATGTCTTGATTTCCATTGTGCAAGTATACCAGAATTAATTGTTGTTTGTTGACTTTGTGAATCATTTTCATTATTAAATAACATTGACAAATTCCTTATTGTTCCAGATGATGGTACTTCTAATTTAACTGAAGTATTTTCATGTACACCTTTTAAATTTAGACTAGAGTTTTAATATAAAATTTTAATTACCAGATGAAATTAATGGTTTACATAAATTATTAGATAAGATTGGAGACTTTTTCCATGCAGATGTGCTTGTTGACGTACACGTGTTTCACAAAGGCGTCTTGTTGCATGTTTTCTTATTACTGCCTATAAAGTACAGAATAAAAATATTTTCACTTAGATATTATATATATATATATATATATATATATATATATATATATGTATCTAACCAATAAAATACATGAAAATGCATTTTCTTTCATTTATACTTTAGTGAAGAAGAACACAAGTGACGACATCCGAATTGTATTTAACACAAAATTACAGAGATACTTGGTAAAATAGAAAAACCGTATTATAATGATTAATTTGCAAAATGTTCAGTAACTGTCTCGAACTTCGTTGTTCTTGCATTCCCATACTAACTGCTTTCTATTTCCTCTCTTTCTTTCCTGATCTTCCCCATCTTCTACTGCCAGACATTAAATTCCTGACTCGCGTTATCTACTACTTATATCAATATAAGTAGCACGCACCACAATACTATATAGCAATATTAATTGAATATAAGTCAGTGTATATTAACCCAATTTACTGTTTCATTCTTATAATCATAAGCTCAAGTGACCATAGTATAAAAAGTATGTTCCGTCATAAAATTCGGTTAGAAAGATTCTTGAGAAGTATTCTGTATTATTCTTTTACTACATATACCATATGAAAACATAAAAATGTACTGAATAATGTTGGATTAAGTGTTTAGTATTGTTGACTAATTGGAAGATCATACAAAAACATGTTTACTCTCACATGTATTGACCATTTCAAGTTAATTAGGTCTATGGTAAATTTTTATGATATTATCTTGATAAACAGACTATTGAACTCCTGACAGTTTGTATTGTCCATTTTTATGAAATATTCCACTTGTATAAGATAATAACATAAACATACTAAACAATAAAGATCGTGATCGAAATGTGAATTTAGTCACACAAATAGAGTAATTTACAAAATGATATGCTTCATTAAGGAACAATGTTAACGAAAAAGAACACTAAGATTATAATGTTCTATCTTTGTTTAAGCTTAATGATAACAATTTATTTAAGTTAAACCATTTCTTTTGTTGTAATCCAATGAATAGAAAAATTGTATTTATGACGTTACATGACTTGATGTAAGCCGCTTATTCAGAGTATTCATTTGTTTTTACTCTGAAGAAGTGGCTTACATCAAGTCACGAAACATTAACTCCCTACTTAATTCTCAATTTATTTGAAACTATGAAGTCTAACCCTGGTAGTGATACCATTTCAACTAACATTCTGGTATGTATTAACTTGAAAGAGTCACCTACTATGATTTAGAAGAAAGTACATATTATGAAATCACCTACTGTAATGAGTGATTAATTAGTATACATTATATTTAGTTATTCTATTTTTCAACTACATTCCTTATTTGAGAAAAAAAAACAGGGATTTTTGTGATATCCATTGTAAGCTATAAGTTGAAGCATTTTGATTGTATCTAGCATTGCAATTTCGGCAATGTTACTATATTTATCTATTAGGTCTTAAGGAAACTGACCTGACCGTTGTAATGATTCACACTTAATCAAAATGTGAATGGTCAAATCGTCTTAACAACAGATTAGGATTATTTGGAACTCTTGAAGCAATGAAACATCATTTTGTAAATAATCTAAACTATTTTTAGTAAGTTTATTGATGAAAGCAAATCATAGTCATTTTAATTTTGTTTAAAAACAAAATCCAAATCCATGACAATTGAAAGGTATTATTTGGTAAAACAGGAAGTAGATGTGGGTGATATAAAGGAAACGATTATCATTTTATAGTTCGAATAATAATAATAATAATCTGGTTAGCATATGATTTAATAGGCCACCTTTGGTATAACTCTTTAAGTTATACTACATGGAAAATATTGACATGCATCTAAAGTATATGCGTTTGTAAAACTTGATGAATTTCTCAAATAAATTTGAAACTCAGGAAACATATTTTATGTATTAAAATCGGAAGTATTTATACGCTTTACCTTCTGTCTGTAAATTATCAGTTTGGTGTGTGTTGTTCATAAATTCTACTAGATTATTTTTGTTCTATGAATTGTATACATTCTCTTTAAGTCATTCTGTCTATGTGTAAACTTCTTTACTACTACTGATACTTTGACAGTGTTCACCTCTTTGAGATTTGTCATCATAATTCAGTCTCATTAAGGTAAGATGGTGTAGAAACTTGAACTAAAATACATGTGCCATGTCCTGCATTACATATGATTGATTGTATGTTATCTTCTTATAAATGACTCAGAACAGTTGTCTAACGGATATGTACAAAGCATTTTGATCAAATTTGTTGTATTATTTTCAAGAATATTACATCAAGTTAGGGGAAAATTAACTACTATGAAAAAGTGGTTCGTTATATCTAGTTGAGCTGTTTTACTAATGATCAACTTCTCTTACAAATAATAAACATTAAATGAATATTTCACTCATTAGGTTTATAGTTACATAGTTTGTCTACTCTCAGTATTTAAGAGACAATATATTCCGCCATCATTTTGAGATTAAAAGATAAACTACTTATAGTTATGTTTCTTGGGTCTGAGTTACTATTTTATTAAATTCACTATAATATAGACATGTAACTATGGAACTTTTGAAGTTTGTTTCAATAGTTTTATAGACCACAACACTATACAGTTGATAACTATAGAAATAAAATCAGTTAACTGATAATTCACACACACACAAACAAACATTAAAATCATTACGTTTGCATATACCAATCAATAAAAAAAGTATTGCTAGTTTTACTCACTCATACCTCAGCGTCTGGATGATCTTTCAATGCTTTTAAAATATCTTCTCGAGACAATACAAATAATTCGGCATAACCAACGGCACGTACATCAGCTGTTCGTCTTAGTAAAATGGAAATAGGATTATGAAATATATTCATGTGTAGTATAGCACATGAAATCTTACTGATATATGTGGTTGTTTAACTGTGAAATTTTATTTATATTTTACTAAGTATTTTCACGAATCACTACAAGCTAGACTCCCACTGAAAACTTAGAAGCACTGGACAGCCGTTTTGTTCTAGTATGGGACTCCTTAACAATGCGCATCCGCGATCTCGCGTGTGGGGCTTGAACCCAGAACAAGCAGTCTCACGGACAAACTCTTGACATCTAGACTACTGGTAATAGATGTAGGGTTGTGCATGATCATGGATCAATTGAAGTTACACATTAATGCTGTTCGATACTGACTCATTGATCTAGAAGTTAAGCATTCGCACGCTAGACCGAAAGTCCTGGGTTTGAGTCCTATATGGGGGATCGTGGATGCACACTGTTGAGAAGCCCCATACTCGGATGAGACGACTATTCAGTGCTTCCATGTTTACACCAGTGATCTAGCTTAGATCAACTAGTGAATTCAATCATAATTCTCAGTTAGAATCAATTGAATATGAGTTCATCACATGGTAAAATAACATAAATAATTAAGAATGTTGAATGTATTCCACTTAGATCCAATTAGAATTTTATTAATTAAACGATAATGAATTCTGTAGATGTGATGCTAAGTGTTCTTTAAAACTTTCCAGTTAAAATTTAATGTAATTTATTGCTTAATGTCTTGTAGTTGTAGCTAATTTCAGTACCTTATTTGTTAAACAAACAAGAAAAAAGAAATGATAGTTATCATTTATCTTATATAAATATCTTTTTATTCATATTGTTTATACAATGAAAAAAGTTAAATTCATTGGGGTTATTAAATAGTTGTCTAAGAATATAAGAACATTATAACCAAGATAAATAAGAGTTCCTACTTGAAGCTTTTATTGTTTAAACATAAAACACAATGTCTTTTTTACTGAATGGAATACAATTTACAAGAATTAAAAGAACAAATATTTCTATCCGACAAAACTATTTACTTAAGCTATATGTTCGTATTTATAATTGTTTGGTAAATATGAATAAAGTTTTGGATTAGAATTTGACGGGGCGAGATCGTGAATGCTCACTGCTGAGAAGTCTCACACTAGGATGAAAAAGTAGTCTAATGTTTCCAGGTTTTCCATGGTGGTCTAGCTTCAATTGACTATTAAACATGGAAATCTTGAATAAATGAATTTCGAAATCTCTGAGAAAAGATTTATATTGTGTTCTCGATCCAGTATATCATTTATGGATATGTTAAATATAAATTTCCGCTTTGAGCTACATCAATAAGTTCATTCGCATTTGTGAGGCAGGCTACATTGATTCATCCTAAGCGAACACATTTTAACGTATTTCAGAACATTACTAGTTATGGTTTTTTAAAATAGCAATACAACACTATCACGGGCTCATCATTTCTAGGCACATTACTCCAATGGAATCGTCTTTTACAGTAATATTCACGTTCAAAGGAAGTAGATCAAAGGGAAGTCGTATCAACATCTTGTGTATTACTAAAGCATTAGAAATTCAACGATTCGACACCAAGTTGTGCGTGCAAATGAAATATGTCCGACCTTTCATCCTTCTAACCTCTCGATTATAATGCAACCTTTCGATATTCCAAATCTCAGATAACTTTATTATGTAATCTCTTTTTTCCTTCTATAGGCTAATACATTTATCATACGACCATGTGAACCATTTTACGTTAAACTAAGAATGATTTGTCCCTTAAAATAATTTTAAGAAGACTGAAATTTAACTGGTGATATGTTATTTATTTAACAAAATACTAATCTGTTATATATTAACAGTACGTATAAAATGCACCCCTACCCGATATATTTATAATTCGTTTCCTAGGCTACTAAATGTTTTAAAATCCCCCCACTCCATCAAACTAACATATGAATTAAATAAGCTAGATCACCATTGAAAACCTAGAAGCACTGGACGGCTGTTTCGTCCTAGTATATGACTCATGAATTCAACTATTAAAATTACTACAGTCTCTATGATCCCCATTCTGATAATATGAACGAAGATCATTTTTCTAATAAATTTGCTTCAGGTTCGATTAATGACTGAAAATGATTAATTTATGCCATCAGTATAATCAGTTTATACTGCATGCAACAGTATCGAGCTATTAACCATCTCCACTACACCTCTGCTTATATATACTGGAAGGTATCCGCAAGTATGAAAGGCGTTTAGTTCCTCTTCAAAGATCTTAATAAAGTTTATTTTGTACTGTATAAGTACAAAGTTAAAGAAGTGTGTACTTACCTGTTCAGTCACTTTTCCCATTTAATTCTCTTCTTATTGACCCACTTGCTATTTTTATTAAAAGATTACCCAAAAATCAAATCCTACCCTCAAATTCCTCTTTAGATCAAAACTCCGATGGATTAGAAACCAAAGTAAACTCGAATCTAATGATATTGTTAAACATGAATGCTATTTACAAAGATGTGTTTAATTTATTAAAACCTATGGGTTTGCTTTATCCTAATTTATATGGAATACCGAAAATCCATAAGCCTAATACCCCCATACGTTGAATTCTATCAATGTGTCGATCACCTACACACAACCTTGCAAAATGGCTAACAAAAGTACTAAACCATATCCGAAATCACTTTTGTAGGTATTGCTTGATTGAATCATTTGGATTAATTTAGTGGATGTGAATATAAAAACAAAGACAATGTTCTCCTTTGATATGAACACTTTAAATTACAAATGTACCTCTTACGAAAACTATTGATATATTATGTGACTATATGTCATTGAATAACCTTCCATTGCCATTTCCTGTTAAATCTTTCAAAGATTTATTATCATTGTGTACTGACAACGTAAAATTCACTTTTGAGGGTGAGCACCTTCGACAAATCAATGGCGTAGCTGTGGGTAGCCTTTTAGGACGGTTGCTGGTTGATGTGTTTATGGGATATGTTAAAAATTTAGCTGAAGTCTCAATTCGATATATGTGTCTGTATAAACGATACGTTGATGAAATAATTATCATACGGAACAAACATGAAGATGTGAACTGCTTGCTAAAAGAGCTCAACACAAATCAAAAGCATATTCCTCTTACATGTGAGGAAAAGAAGAATAAACAACATTTTTTCTAGACATATTGATTAGTAGGAAAGATGATGGTCCCATCAAATGTTCTGTATATAGAAAGCCGACACGGACAGGGCAATATCTTAATTTTTATAGTCACTGCCCAATTCATTACAAACGTGGATTGATAAAAAGCTTATTCAATAGAATCAATCATACTTGTACTCGAGATACTATTGAAGTAGAGACGAACCTCATGACTGAAACAATAATGAATAGCAGTTATTTGTTGAAATTTATAAACCCCTAGACGGGTTGCTATACGATAAGATCTATGACGCTTCTGGCACTCAAAAAACAAGTTTACATTATAATGCCATTCAGAGCGATTGAAATAGTTTCATTTTGAAACAGAGACTTAAATTAGCCATCTACAGGACGTTTCACCTTTCTCCATTTATGTACAGGTTTTGCCGTTGAACTTGAAACTCACATTCGTGACACAATTCAGAAATATCTCTTGTATGTCAATAATTTGGAACTGTAGTTTCTATATCTATTTTTCTGAATCGTTCACATATTTATTCTACAGTCTGTACGAATGTGACATCTCTGACTGGTGATGTCACATCGAAAGACAACCTTTTATTCCATAATAATGACATTTTGGTCTCATCAGCAAATTGCAAAAACATCCCAAACATTATGCTGTACAAGTTTATTATGAAATGGTTTCGTCAATGTATTTACCGATAATATAGCTAACAGTTCATAAATAACATTGTAAACAGGAACATGAATTGCTTGAATGACATATACGAAAACAGTTTCCTTATAGTTAGAGTACAATGTGATTTTCCAATTGAATAACTACTGACGAATAAATACTTCTCGATTCAAATAAAAAGAATAGACCATAATAGACAAATATGGATTTGGTTGATTGGTTGAAGTTAGACATTAACACCGTTGGATACCGGCCGGCTCAGTGGTCTAATGGTTAGGCGCTTTCGCGCGAAACTGATAGGTCCTGGGTTCAAATCCCGCGGGGGGATCACACTTCTGAGGAGTCCCATACTAGGACGAAACGGCCGTCCAGTAATTCCAGAAAGAAAATGATGATTATTGTATTAAATGATTACAAAATAATCCTATAGTTTCAGATGAAATTTAATTTCAGTTTTTCTAAATGTTTATTAATTAACTTACTTATTTACTCCATCCACATTCAGTACTCCGATTTCACCAAAAAAATCACCAGCACTCATCTTTGATAAAACTTCATTGGAATCACTAAGGAAATCATCATCATAATAATAAAACGTTGATAAATTTATTAAATCATAAATTTAAATATTATGAATCTAATTCTGTCACATATTTCAGAAGAAAGATTTTTGTTTAGAAAGTAAATGATTATGTTCACATTGAAGATGGATTAATACTTGAATGGATTGATTTGATAGCCTCATTATTTTCAGTTTTATAATTTCTATTTAATGGAGAGAGATGGCTTGGTGGATTTGGCGGTTAATTTCAAGCACTGAGTCATAATTTGAATTCTCCTCAACCTACATCAGTTTGTGTAAATGAATAATACTGCTAATGATCATACATGGAATGTGGCTCTAAGCCAAATACTGGAATTCGTACCGGATAAATGAGTGACCAAATAAAAACAATACGATTTATCTGATAGTGATTAATTACCGAAATTGTCAACAAATTTGTAACTCAATAGATGACCGACTGTAACAGGTTAAGTTATTTATCTTACTAAACTGATAAATGCTTCTATATCATCGATTTCTTTTGTAAGTGTAATACCGATATCTCATACATAATATTCACTAGTAGGTATTATCAGAAGTGTAAACTACTCCCGTTGAGTCGTAATTATAAACTCTATTAAAAAGTACACAATACTAATTCTATAAATTAGCACTCATTAAATGGTAATGACGGATCTCAAATTTCTCGTCATCACGGATTAGAAAGTTGTTCGCAGTGAGAGCGTCAAAAATTAGTGTGGTATGGTTTTCAAATACTCAAACTCTATATCTTGTTTCAAAGAAGAACATATATTATCAAGGAATAGACTATCAAACAGCTTAAGGTAGAGCTAATAATTTCGAATTTCTGTTTTATACTACTGAATAATAAACTTGAATATCTTCAGTTAACTCACCTTAAAACTTCAAGTACACCATCTGCAATGATAAATATTTCACGTGCTATTTCACCTTTACGACATATTAAATCGCCCGGTGTGAAAACTAGTGGACGCATTTTCAAAACAATATCATGTAAAAATTCTGGTCTACATTCATGAAAAATAGTTACCTATGACAGAAAAAAGTGTCAAATGTTTATATAATGATTATTTGATCAATACTAAGACGATCTTTTATATCTAAGACTAAACATTCAGACAGATGAATAAGAGTGAAACAACACAAAACATGTTTCACGCTTGTTTTTAAATTCTCAGAAAACTTCAGAAATCCTGATAAAAGAATTAGGGTTTGTGGAAATGGTCAGAACTGTTAGAAATACCGATTTTTATAAGAACATTTCTATTGTATAATGGTTATGACTAGATTCGGAAATGTGAATATTATGGATTGATATGGGATGATGAATTTATGTGAAATAGTTTGATTATGTTTCGGTTTGGCTGGTATCAAACACATTTCCTAAAAACATTGATTTTCTTCTATGTGATATTTTGGATTCATTTATTTTTAGGGAATAATTTTGTAACTAACGTTACGCCGGTCTCGTTTCCATTCTGAATCGAATTCTGTCGATAAAGCTGTATTGTGACCATTGAGTTACTCAATCTAGCATGAACAATGTTTCGATGTTCCGTTGCTTGGAGTGATTGAAAACAATTCTTAGACGCAGTTTTGTAATGCCGAAAATTCTTTAGCACAACCTATCTACGTTGCCTCGCACATTGTCACATTTAAATACATTACCAGTTAGCTATTTTGGACGTAGGATTGAGTCATGTAAACTGGTTAATCGACATAAAGCCATTCAAACTAATGGTCACATTCCGACCTAATAGACTGAATTCCATCAGCGCTGATGACTATAAAAGCATATCACTAACTAAGATATAATGCTTAGTCATTTGTATTATCTCAGTCCAACATAAAATCAGACATTGTCTGTTAGGGTGACACCACCGGCTATGGCACTAAATAATGCGAAGGATAACTAGTGTCTTGAAGCTTTTGAATATATCTTGGTTACTATTGCCTATAAACAAAAAAAGCCTATATCTTTGAACTTCTCACTAACTACCTACAACCATCTGACAACGGACAATTCAATGTCTAATAAATAATAACGTAACAATTCTTATTATTACTTAACTTTTACAGTCAAGTACGTAATTACCTCGTAAGTATTTCTGATGGAATCAGTAAAATCTAAATTGGACCTACAAAAAGTACCATCCTGTTATTATCTCTATTATTGTAATCTTATTAATTAGTAATATTTTAAGTGTAAGATTTACTAGAAAAAAAAAGATAGAAATTACATATACATATATTGACAATAATAAGTAGTATGTTAAATAATCACAAAAATAACAATCGGTATATTATTAAATGAAATTACTTTTTTCAATGTTTCCAAATTCACATTAAGAGCTAATTCCGTTTTTAATTTATCTGGTAATAAACCTATTGTATTAATATCTTGACCACCACCACCGCAACCTCTAATTCATATTATCATAAAGAAAATGAAACAATAAATCAATTAATCAATCAATCAATCAATATTATTCATTTGGCAAATATCCAAATAAAAAGTAAACAAATATTGATAATATTAAAGTTAAAATATAAACAATTACTGAATAGAATAGAAGATAATAAACAAAATAATAATGATCATTATATTATATTATACTATACTATGAAAACTAATCAAACATATTAGTAAAGAAACTCATGAACTAGAATAAGAACTATTTATGAAGTCAATGTTTCTATGGGACTTTTCTGAAGTTTTCTTTGATTTGAATGACATTCAAATATTATTCTTATAAGAAGCATAAATTGACTATAATTTCATTTAATTTTATATATTTGGAACATTCTAGAATATTTAATTGAATGGAACTTATCTCAAAATAGTTAATGAATGTAACTATTGTTAATATTTTTCATTATCGAAATGATTCAATCTGGATCCAATGTGTTTTACTGATTCCAAGAACTTTCAGATTGTATTATTTCATTTCTGAGACTCTCCTGATCTTCCATATTATACGAGCATTCCATGTACCTATATTAATAGTTACTCTATAACTTATAATGATTATTCTTCATACATTATGCGGTATTAGTTAATCTCATATCTACTTGTCATTAGTGACACTTATTATTCGTAGCATTATTAGTGTATCCCAATACAGAAGGTGGAACGTCTAACATAGTTTGTTTTACAAAGAAAGAATTTAGCTATTGACCATTAAATTTGATCAGCGTGTGAAAATAATGTCCTAATCGCCTAAAAAATAATCATAATTATTCGTTGGGATCCTAAAGCTCTCATGTGGTAGGCAAGATGGGATGTATAGATAAGCGAAACTAGAAAAATCATCTTTAAAATGTAGGAACTAACTGCATGAAATATATTTGTTCAGCTGTTTATAAGGTGATTTCTTTTCATAAATGGCCTGGTAGAATTTATCATAGAAGAATGTATGATAAACATAGTATTTTAAATAATATCCTTCAGTTTAGCTCAAAATGAACAATCAAATATGTATGATCTTGGTAAACAATTTGGTCTTTTTATTTATAACTTATTATTTTCAAAGTAGGTTTCATTATTGATTTGATGTTTTAGACAAGAAGTGATCATTTCACTGTCATCAAGGTGTTACAAAATCAACTGTCATACAAGATTATATATACGTATATATTCATTGATTTGTATAACTTTTCTGGTTAGCGTTGTTGCTGATAGCCAGACACTATCAGCAACAACCTACTATGGGAAAGAACAAACCGTATTCCAGCAGGGGAACAAATCAGGAAGAAGCGCTGGAAGTGGATAGGACACACATTGAGGAATGCACTGAACTGCGTCACAAGGCAAGTCCTGATTTGAAATCCTCAAGGCGAAAGGCGAAGAGGAAAACCAAATAACACTTTACGCCGAGAGATGGAGACAGACATTCAAAGAATGAACAACAATTGAATAGAATTATGAAGGAAGTCCCAGGACGAAGTGGGTTGGAAATACTGGTCGGCGGCCTATGCTCTATTGTGGGTAACAGCCGTAAGTATATATATATTAGGAATATTGTTTACTCACTTAGACCATGCATAATCATACCATCTTAGAATACGACTTTGTAAATCTTTATCAACTGAATTAGCCCGCATGTAACTTTTAGCGTGGTCCTAAAAAACGAAAGTTATAAAATAAAAAAAATTAAAATACAGACTAGGAATTAAGATTTATTGCCTTATTTCATGCTAATGCTTAAAGCTAGTAAATGTTTCAGTCGTATTAGATTATTTTTGGGTTAGACGTTTAGAAATGAAATGAAAATCAAATTTCAATTGTTTTACAAATGATTACGTTCACCTTTATGAGGTTTCGTACAATAATTGACACTACTTGGAATAGCATTCCTTTCACTTATCCTCTATCTTCCCAATTACAACTTGAGAGGGTTCTAGCGTTTGAGTGCTCAAGTTGTACGCAGTATATAAGGAAAATATAAGCTCTAGATATAACAACTCCAATAGCCAGTCAAGTAGTTTACAGTTTTGAAGCTTTTGAACTAAAAAAATAGTATGTATCTACTCATTTAGATGTGAGAAATAATGTTAGATTTTGAATAACATCATCTGATAGAGAATAAGTTCATCTAGCATAAAAATAGAAAGTACTACTACTATACTGAACAAAAAGAAAAGTGGGGACAATCTAATGTATTTTTGAGTACAAAATGACAAGATCTCTTACTAAAATCTGAGAACCATACCGTAAATAATTCATTTGCAAAATATCCATCAATTATGCCAGACTTGACTGTTCCTTCGTTTCCAAGTCAATCAGTCTCGATTCTCGGTCGCTTCTTTTCTATTTTCCTAACCTTGTGCCGCAAGTCATTCTACTTTTGATTGGTGATACATGCTACTTATATCTATCGATATCAGTAGCATACACCACTCTACTACTACGGATAATAAGCAGAACAACTGGACGTTTTCTTTCTAGCTTTTATTAATATTTTTTCCAAAAAATACAACCGGTCTCGATTACTCTGACAAGAAGAAAATATATTGCATTATATTTCTTCGTAGACTTAGTTAAGAAGTGATACAAACTACATTACACGATTACTTTACTTTAGTCAGATAAAATTCGTGCATGTCATCAATTAAATTACTTATAGAATAAACTGTTTCTTTCAAGCTTTATAAATAACTGACTCAGTAAAGAAATGAGAAACGAATTTATTTTGTATTTATCTACTTTCTTCCAAGACATATTCTCGTTTGACTCAGTACACTTTTTAGGTAAATAGGACGATTGTCAGAGATATGACTAGAATAGTAAGCACCATAAATCACGATATGTTTCTGCCACTGTCATCAATCCTACACCGAGTAATTGAACCAGAACATAACAATATCTCGTTACAAAAAAACGTTAGACGATTGTTAGATAATAGGCCAAGTTTCATTAAGCATAACGGTGATGAAACAACACAGAGTGTAATGTATGAAGTAATGTCTAAAATGACTAGTTATGCATGGTGTTCAGATCATTTAGCTGGAAATTATAAAAAAGTGGAGTAGGTTTTAGTGTAACGACCTCTTAGAAACTTTTTAATGTTGTCACACCAAACACAATCACCTGATCCAAAAATCCTCCTAATCATATCAGCTTCATGTATATTTATCCCATTGTTGATTTTAATAGGGCTTATCTGTTCTACTTATTTGTTTATTTAAACACATAAACATTAGTACAAGAAGGTAGCAAATAGATGTGCACCACATAAGTCGTCCGATTTATGTGGGGGATGGGATACTGCATGGGTGACCAAACCGAAGCGGGTGGTCTTCTTAGGGGGCCACACCCTGAGCCTTTCACCTAAAGGTCTAATCCACAAGGCAGTGGAGTAACGTCACGAGATGCAATCTCATGATAGCCGGTGACCAATAATTGGTTTTTACGCCATTTGTTTTCTTAGGATCCTGGAGTCCATGTATGTTATTGGTTTGGAATTAGGATTTTCCAACTCCCCGGTTGAAGCGTCATGCATTCATTGTTTGTCCTATCAATTTCGTAAACACCCTCGCCACGAGAAGGCAGAGAGTAGGACTTCTCTCGCAGTGGTTGTATGCAAAAGACCAGGTGAGAGGATCTGTTCTAAAAATTATAGCCTAGAGAATTATTTGTGAGAGATTCACATTAACAAATTTTAATAGAATTTAAGAGCTTCTTTCATCGTTTCAAAGTACTAAAGCGTGCACATGTATTTACACATTACAATACAGTTTTGAATCAAACTAGAAAACTGTAATCATTGATTTAAATAAAGATGACAAGCGGAAATTTCATTTCATTTACAAATGAAATAAAATTTTATCATTCTAGTGATCACTTGATACCATTCCATATATCTGCACTTGAAGAACCATATTTCTACAATGATATTCTCTGTTGAATGCGTCTTTAATTGATATGAAGAATTCATAATTTATAGAATATTCTAAATATAGCAATCAATTTGTGGCAAAAAGAAAGCTAAATATGTTCTTTTCTTTCTTCCAAAATCAATTACAATGAATGTGTTATTGTTTTTTGTAATATTTTAGTTAAGCTATTTCTCTCCTTAATAAATACTTTTTTTCTTTTTATGAATTTACTAAAGTAAAACTATTCCTGGACACTTTGAATTAAAGCCAATATTATTGATCTCTTTTTTCTGTTTTGCTCAGTAGTTTTATCATTGTGAACAAAATTATATTAGTTAGTTTCTCATTTATTTTTATTTCTATGCGAATGAGAAATTCAGTATTAAGGTGAACTAGTTGAAATCTTCATATTGTTTATACCTTATTTCAATGTAATAATATAACTTAAGTATTTTATAAATGGTATATACATATATGTATATATGGAAGTGTTTTGTGCGATTTATAATTCTTACCAAAATTTTCTCAAACTCAATACGATCAGCATTTCTTGTTGTAATGATATTTCCTACCTGACCTGAAAGTAAACAAAAAAGAAGGAGAAGAAACTCATTAATTATTCAATAGATAAATTTAGTAATTGTTTTTTCTTCTTTGTTTTTCATATATTAAATATGTATGTATTACAGAAGCGGATCGGCAAAGCAAGAGCAGCATATTTACAATTGAAGAACATCTGATACTCAAAACAACTGTCAATCAGCACCAAAGTCAGGATTTTCAATACGAATGTCAAAACAGTTCTACTGAATGGGGCGGAAACCTGAAGAACTACGAAAGCCATCATCCAGAAGATTCAGGTGTTTATTAACAGTTGTCTATGCAAAATACTTCGGATTCGTTGGTCAGACATTATTAGCAACAACCTACTGAGAGACAGAACAAACCAGATTCCAATGGAGGTAGAAATCAAGAAGAAGCGCTGGAAGTGGATAGGACACACATTGAAAAATCCATCAAAATGCGTCACAAGGCAAGCCGTCACTTGAAATCCTGGAGGCCAAAGGAGAGGAAGAGGAAGACCAAAGAACAGATTACTCGGAAAAAATGGACACAGACATGAGAAGAATGAACAAAAGTTGGATAGAGTGGATTGAAGAATGCTGGTTGGCGGCCTATGCTTCATTGGGAGTAATAGGCGAAAGTAAGTAAGCAAATACTGTATTACCGAATGCATCTAGATTGATGTACAGTTTGAAGCATCATTGCTTCAATAATGAAATAAATTAGATATCTTGATAATTAAAACTTAATTAGTGAGATCACTTGCAGAATTTGGATCTCTGTTAAATATTTCACATCATAATTGATATGCATATATATCGCTCTTTACGTAACAAAAGCAATGCAGAGAAAACAAATACTTTTTCAATAGTTGAGATTATGAGTCAATTGAAACTAGATGATTATGGAAAACCTGGAAGCTTTGGACAGCCGTTTCGTCCTGTTGTGAGACTCCTCAGCAGCGCCTACCCACCTCAGATATTAATCAACATATGCTCACTAGTGAATGGCTTCAAATGGTATTTCGTGGAGCTCTAGTGTGGAGCATTGACCAGTGGAGTTTAACCAGGTCTGTTGTGAGATAGTAACTCACAGAAGACAATGGAGGACGGTGGCGCAGTTTCGTGGATTAGCTGAAGTTAAACATTAACACCGTTTGATGCCGAGTTAGTGTTCTAGGCGTAAAGTGTTCACGCGCGAGACCAGTATGTCTTAGGTTCGAATCTCGCGATTCGGGATCGTGAATGCGCACTCCTGACGAGTCCCATACTACGGTGAAACAGCCGTCCAGTGCTTTCAGGTTTTCCATAATAGTCTACGTTCAACTGATTCATGATCTCAATTATTAAAATTACAATTATATTCAAAAAACCCATTCTGAGAAAATATATGTTTACAATAAATAAAAATACTGCAATATTTCCCAGGACATTTTACCTTAAATGCTTCAAAGATTTGTAAGGTCCACTGCATTTCGTTAAAACTTATTCTATTTATAAAGCTTATTATTCTTTTTTTGGTAATCATATTCCAACCAGTATTGATTAATTACACATAATTTAGAAAAACAATACATACAATTACGTGCTTCTTTAGATAATTTTGTTAGAAATTTCGTGACTAAAAACTTAATATGAAGTAATAAATTCATGCGAGTGATTTTGTCTTAATCAATTAGATTGAACTGTATATACAGTTCACTAAGTAGACATTAACTAGACTAGCAAAATAAAATTCCTTGAACTCGGTATACCAACTTAGTAAACTAATATCACAGTTAAATTCATGAATCGATCTATGCCATACCACCATTGAAAATCTGGACGGTCGCCTAGTTTTAGTATGGGACTACCTCAGCAGTACACATTCATAATCCTGCATGCAAAACTCGAACCAAGAACCCTCTGTCTTGCGTGCGAACTCTTAACCTCTACACCACTGAGGCAGCATCCAATAATGTTAATGTATAACTTCGATTAATTCATGATCTTGCTCAACTCAATATCCATTGTCTGAGGTGGTGGTTGGATATACCGTTCCCTACAATTTTGAAAACTAATAACTGAAGTGATTCAAAATATAACCTGTAATTTTGTTACTATAATTTGCCTACAGAATATATTTCATAAGTACTATATAGTTTGTTCATTTTTCGAAATAAATAACTCAGAGAACAGTGGACTTAAATACTTTTACACAATCATTTTTACTATGAATTCATTTATTTCAGATATATTCCTTCCTAGAAAGGTTCGGACAATGTCAATCATAAGAATTACAGATTTTCTAATGTATAGATTACCTTAAAGAAATTGATAGTTTAGAACGTTACTGTAAATTAACTGATGAAGACGTTCACTTTCAGATAACGGTTACCAATGTTCATGCAAATTTATTATTGGAAGAGTAAAAATTCAAAAGAGTTTATAGTTACATGTATTCTTTTTTTATATTCGATTGCGTCTTCAGCTTATAGAAACATCACACAAATAACCACGTATTGTCTCATTTCTTATTCTATATTGAAAAGCTTACAATGTATCAGACCTTTAAAATAATCCCCATAATCTGATGTAAAACAAAATCAAATCCAATCACATTCTACTTCAATACATCAAGTAGTACAATATGACACAGGTAAAACTCAGAAACATGACAGTTTGACAAAGCAAAGTTTAATAAAATTTGTTTTCTCATCTTCACAAAAGTAAACTATAAGAGATATACAGTGTGTTCATGAAGGTGATTATCTAAAGTCTTCATAACTCAACATAATATAAAGAATTAATACAATAAATAATGAGTTGATTCGATGGGTTAAGGAATTAAAAATTTGAACGTTTTCAAATTATCAAAAGTGAAATGACAGAAAATATTGATTAAATCAAAAACAAAATCTAACGTAATTTGAAGGACTACCAAAATACTAAATTCTAATTAGTGATAATTATAGCAACTCACGCGCAATTGAGTTTGTTCTCATTTAATTCGGTTAAGCCCTTTTGTTAACTTATTTAGCGGACAAAGTCATCCGTACTATAACAACATATGGTACCTTTATTATTATTGTGCTTGTATGAAATATGTATGCTTGAACATTGCTTACCGCCTATGCATATATTCATTCTGCTAGCTTTATTATTAGTTGCTTAGTTGATTTAATGATCCATTCATTTCTCTCTCTCTATATATATATATATGTACATGTACATTCAACACTCTACACTCGGTTCACTGACTCACTCATTCGCATCATTGCTTTGTGGTCTGAGTTATCTGCTAATAAAACTGTAGTCACTGCTTCTCTTCGCCTTCTGACCTCAAACACCATTGAAGATTATATGATAACAGTTACGAGGATGATTGGCCAACGAAGCAGAGCCACTACATAATCATGATATAATAATGAAAGTTGATCAGTTCTAAATAACCTAAAACACAACATTCATTACTCCTCAATGTGTAGGTAAAAGAACTTCCAAATCTTCTGGAATATCCGTTATTTTGATTTGATAGAATTTTCATTAATTTTCCGATTTGAGTGTTAAGTAATATATATATATATAGGAAAACAATATTGTGATTCATTTTTGTATTAGTCGTTTGAATCTTCCCATTGATGTTTAGGACTGCAATTGATCGGTATCTTATTGGCATATGTGCATCCTGTGAAGATGGCCTCGATATTGTCTTAAGTCATAAGCATTATAATTAAAGACGGATGGTGGTTAGCAGTGGAAATCAAGACGTGCGTTTCGTCCTATTTGAGACTTGTTGGGTGGATGTACCCAATAGCCAATGATAGCCACCATCCATCTCTGCTTATATAATATTTGTAACTTAAGTCGATATCGAAGCCATACACACAAAATGCACATATATCAATAAGATACCGATCAATTGCAGTCCTAAACATCAATGGTAAGATTCAAACAACCAACACAAAAATGAATTAGACTTCACTTCATTGAATAATCTAGTAGCTATCTGGACTCATTGGCTATATGGATGATGAGAACGGAGCGAACGGTACTGGGTTTAAGTCTCGTAATGAACATCAACTCTAGGATGCAGGTACATCTATCTGACGAGTACCAAATAGGACTAATCGCGCTTCGAGGATTCTACTGATGACCACCATCTATGTTTGCTTATAATGCTCCAAACAGTATTGTGTTTTCGACCAGTATGTTTGCTGACTAGTATTTTAGTAGAAATTTCGTGATAATTATATAGTACTTATCCCGTAAGTTATCGAATATATATATATATATATATATATATATATATATATATATATATATATATATATCATTGCCTAACTTGTAACAAACAAATGAAGTTATTTTTGTACACAATTAATGGATTTTCAAACATGAACATGTAAACTAGTTTACATTGAGAAGGATGATTTATCTGTATGATGCTTATATATAAACATTAGTGTTCTCAGATTATATGAAAGATTGTTTAATTTGAACCTTTTGAAAAATGTACGTAAAATTGTTGTTCTTTGTCAACTGATCGATGCAATATTCTAAGATTAAATTATTGTTTATATTAATTCATAAGTCGTAAATAAATTATTCTCCTTGATCGATGGAATATGGTCAGCACTTGAAAGACTGGAATTGTAGTTGTAAAGTTTTAGATTTAATATCTAAGTGACGTAGGTTAGAATAGAACATAGATTCTTCATCATGTGTTTCAACTAGTATAAAGCTTAAATTTAGAGTCATTTATTGAACATTCCAAGCTAATTTAATAAAACTTCCACTGATTGTTATGCGTTATTTAATTTAATACTCTGTTCATACTGATTTAGAATACTTAGCATTTGTTAAATCTAGATCATGCAATGACAAGACATTGTTGATCGGAATATGATTCTAATATGTATTTACAATAATATAAATTAACATATCCCCTAATTTGTGTGAAAAGTATCTTGTTTAGGGAAAAATATTTCGTCAAGTATAATCATGATTGTCGGTTTTATATATTTGAGGTAAGTAAGCATAAAAATCATTACACGATATTAAGGAGTTAGCATTGTAGGACTATTGTGGGACTCTTCTGCAGTGCTCATCCACGATCCTGCCTCATGAGATTTGAACTCAGGATGAATCGGTCTCGCGCGCGAATGCTTAACCTCTAGACCATTAAGACGGCATCCAACGGTGTTAATGTCTAACTTCAACTAATCCACGAAACTGAACGACATATCCATCATCGTCTTCAGTGAGTTAGTATGTATGTTGAAAAAGGTATGAAACTATAGAGTTATTATTCATGTATTGTTAGAGGTACATAACACATGCCCCAGCCATCTCAGCTCGTGAAGTTTACTACTTCATCAATTGATTTGCCATCCTTACCTAGTAAATCAATTGATAAAGTAGTGAAACTTCATCAGTTGAGATGTTTGGGACAAGTGTTACGTATGCCCAACCACCGACTGCCCCGAAGTGAGATGTTTTATAGTGCAGGAGTAGGTCGGAAGAAAACTAGGGACGGCCAGATCAAAACATGGCTCAAATCCATGAAGTCACTGACAAATGGACTGAGTCATGTTGACAGGTGTAGACTACATGATTGGGGTCCGCGTGATGATAGCAACCGATGATTAGAGACATTGAATGACACGGCTCAGAATCGTTTACAATGGCACAGGTGCATCCACTATTTGTGTCCTCCCAAATTCTAATCTTCTGAATTCTTCATATCTCTACCTTTTTTCTCTTTCCAAATTTATTTCACTGGATTATACTCCTTGAATAACATCTTCAAACCCTCATCTTCGCGATGACTGCTTATTCTTTTACTACCTCTACCACTACGGGATTTGAATCGACAGTTGTATCTGTGTGCTAATGTAGTATGGCAACTCGATCTGATGTACGAAAGTACGACGTTCTACGTTGTTGATTACTTACTTACTTACGCCTGTTACTCCTAATGGAGCATAGGCCGCTGACCAGCATTCTCCAACCCACTCTGTCCTGGACCTTCTTTTCTAGTTCCATCCAATTCTTGTTCATTTTTCTCATGTCTTTCTCCATTTCTCGGCGTAATGTGTTCTTTGGTCTTCCTCTCCTCCTTTGGCCTTGAGGATTCCATGTGAGGGCTTGTCTTGTGACGCAGTTGGGTGCTTTCCTCAATGTGTGTCCTATCCACTTCCAGCGCTTCTTCCTGATTTCTTCCTCCGCTGGGATCTGGTTTGTTCTCTCCCACAGTACGTTGTTGCTAATAGTGTCCGGCCAACGGATCTGAAGTATTTTGCGTAGACAACTGTTAATAAACACCTGTATTTTCTGGATGATGGCTTTCGTAGTTCTCCAGGTTTCTGCCCCATACAGTAGAACTGTCTTGACATTTGTATTGAAAATCCTGACCTTGGTGTTGGTTGACAGTTGCTTTGAGTTCCAGATGTTCCTCAGTTGTAAATATGCTGCTCTTGCTTTGCCGATCCGCGCCTTCACATCTGCATCAGATCCACCCTGTTCATCAATGATGCTGCCCAAATACGTAAAGGTTTTTACATCTTCCAAATCTTCTCCGTCAATTGTGATTGGATTGGTGCATTCTGTGTTGTATCGGAGAATCCTGCTTTTCCCTTTGTGTATATTGAGACCTACTGCTGCTGAGGCTGCTGCCACACTGGTCGTCTTCTCCTGCATCTGTTGTTGCGTTTGGGATAGAAGGGCCAGATCGTCTGCGAAGTCCAGATCGTCCAACTGCATCCTAGATGTCCATTGTATCCCGTGCTTCCCTTCAGACGTTGACGTCTTCATGATCCAGTCGATCACCAGGAGAAAGAGAAAGGGTGAGAGTAAGCAACCTTGCCTGACACCGGTCTTTACCTCGAACGACTTTGTCAACTGTCCTCCATGCACGATTTTGCAGTGTAATCCATCATATGAACTCTGTATGATATTGACTATCTTCTGAGGCACGCCGTAGTGTCGAAGAAGTTTCCATAGTGTTGTTCTGTCCACGCTATCAAATGCCTTTTCGTAGTCAATGAAGTTGATGTAGAGTGATGAATTCCATTCAATTGATTGTTCCACAATGATCCGTAGAGTTGCGATTTGGTCTGTACACGATCTATCCTTACGGAATCCTGCCTGTTGGTCACGAAGTTGGGCGTCTACGCAGTCCTTCATCCTGTTTAACAATACCCTGTTGAAGACTTTTCCCGGTATTGAGAGAAGAGTGATGCCCCTGTAGTTATCACACTTGCTGAGATCGCCTTTCTTCGGTATTTTGATCAGAAGTCCTTCTTTCCAGTCTTTTGGTACTTGTTCCTCATCCCAAATCTTATTGAAGAGAATGTGGAGTATCCTTGCAGTTGCCGCTACGTCTGCTTTTAGTGCCTCTGCTGGAATGTTGTCCGGTCCTGCTGCTTTGCCACTCTTGATTTGTCTGATGGCCATGCTGATTTCTTCAATTGTTGGTGGGCCAACATTGATTGGGAGGTCCGTGGGTGCTGCTTCGATGTTGGGTGGGTTCAGTGGAGCTGGTCGATTCAAGAGTTCTTTGAAGTGTTCTACCCACCTGTTTTGTTGCTCTTCAATGTTGGTGATTACCTCGCCTTCCTTGCTTTTCACTGGTCGTTCTGGTTTGCGGCGATTTCCAGAGAGTTTCTTTGTCGTGTCATACAGTTGTCTCATGTTTCCTTCTCTTGCAGCCTTTTCCGCCGTCGTTGCTAAATCTTCCACATATTTACGTTTGTCGGTTCTGATGCTCCTCTTCACTTGTTTGTTTACTTCTGTGTATTCAGCTTGTGCCTTGGCTTTTTCTGCTCTTGTTCGACTGGTATTGATTGCTGCCTTCTTGTTCCTCCTTTCTTGAATCTTATCCAGTGTATCAACAGTGATCCATTCCTTGTGATGGTGCTTCTTGTGACCCAGGACCTCATGACATGTTGAAGTGATTGCCTCTTTGATCCCCTTCCAGTTGCTCTCCATAGTAGTTCCTTCTCCATTGAGTAGATCATGAAAGGTCTGGAAACGTTGTTGATTGACTGACTTTAAATGACTACAATAATTTAATATTTGTCTTATTTGTCTGTTTAAGTGTTGGTGTAAGTAAATTTTTTTATTCAAACGTTTCAACAATCTAGAAAGTAAGGAAAATATGCACTAGCTAAAAAGGATTTATATATATTACTATTGTTTGATAATTTCTATCTTGAAGACTTAAGTGATAAGGTGTGTGTTTTATCTTTCATTCATCATACTTCAAGTACAGGTTGATGTCTATTTTTACATAAAATCATTTTCTTTTTTTTTATCTACAAATCACAATCAACTTTCAGTCTTTTATTTTGCTTTCATTGACTAAGTTCTTATTTCTATCATAATGTACTTTGAGATTACTAAAATTGTCTCAACTAATTTGGAAGTAGACATCAAAAAGATGAATAACAACTGGAAAGAATTGTCCAAGAATACAGTTCGTTGAAGAATGCTGGTGGGTGGTCTATAATCCTTCACGATGGGTAACAGCCATAAGCAAGTAAGAAATAGGAATATGAGAAATTGACATTGTTTTGTAATTCTCAAGTGCTTTCAACAACGAAGTATTTTTTTTTAACAAATAATCATGGAAGTTTATTAGGTTTCAGTGAAAGTGAGATTATTTTCTAATCTGTTTAGTTTTAAAATGGAATATAAAGACAATATTGCGTAATAAAACCTGAAGAGTAATATCCTTAGACTGATGAATGTAATACCTTTACTGTTATTAATTTAATGTAACTTGAAAACAAATAGTTAAAGTTATTTAAAATAGACTTAAGTATAAGATATAGACATTATAAAAAATCAATTATTGTAGATAAGTCAGTTGTAAACAAAGTTGGTCGTAACACATGTAATTGTGATGATGTATGAATCACGAGTTGTTGTTTATTATGAAACGTAGATTTCATAGAAATTAAATCCAATTAGTGTTGTTTACATGTATTTTCCGATTGTTATTTAGGACTGCAATTGATCAGTCTCTTATTGGCATATGTGCTTCCTGTACGGACTGCCACGATTTTGCCTTAACTCACAAATTTTATGAGTAAAGATGGATAGTGTCTAGCAGTGGAATCGTCCTATTTCAAACTCATCAGCCGGATGTACCTACATCTGAAAGTTGATGTTCACTCTGGGACTCGAACTCAGTACCGTTCGCTTCAAACTCCATCGCATTATCCACTTAGCTACTGATTTTTGATAACCATCTGCTTGAGCAATAGAGGTAAGTTTTAAATTCACTTGGAGTTTTTTTCTCAGAGTGAACATCAAATTTGGGATGCAGGTACATCCACCTGACGAATCTCAAATAGGACGAAACGCGTGTCGTGGATTCCACTGCTATCCACTATCCATCTTTATTTCATAGGAATTTTTTATAAATATTAACCAATATGAACTCTAGAACCAAGACCGTCAAGCGGTTTCTATCAATCTCAAAACACATTGAGTGAAGACAATTTTCTCAGATTGTCTTTCGGACCAAAAAGGATGGTAGATGTATGAATCGTGTTACTGGTAAAATTTCACTAATCGTGTAAATTTTATCATCATATAATAATAATGCGATTATGATCATTAAACCATTATTTCTAGCTATTTGTCATCTCTTTTCAAACAGATTTATTATTCACTGTCAAATAGCCATTTCATAAGATGAGTTCTGTCAGATCTGTATTATTTGATGACTTTTCTCATTAAGTATTTTTTTATTTATTTGGATTATAATCATTAACACTTACCTACAATTGTAGCAAATACAAATACCCCAGTTAGATATGATACAATTGTGAATGTAAGCCTAGAAACAACAATAAGAAAATAAAGAGAAGAGATAATACATTCGTTATCACCATGTGAATTTGTTTATAATAATAAGTTAGATAATGGATAAATAATTTCTTGTAGTGACATGACAACAGTACTTAGAAGTATTACATGACGTACACCTAATGAAGATGCTCATTCCACTAGTAATGAATTAAAAGTGAATGAAATATATTTTACATGCATTTTCTAGAGAGATTACGGACGTTCTTCTAGAAACTTCTTATTTCAACAGGTAACAAAGTTATTAAAATGCAAAGGATGAAACATTAAAATAAGTACAAATATACAAAAGTAACCATGAATAACATTTCACTTATATAAAACTGATTCATTCAATTCATAAACTTAATTGGCACAAAAGTGAGCCCATGAAGGTTTGTGATAAAAAGAGGAAAGACTATGAAATAATAAAAAAAATTAGACCTTTTCACAACATTCAAATGTTCGTCGTATAAACAAAATGTATTTCACACATACACACATGCACACAAAGTGTTTACATTACAAACAACATGTACAATTTGATAAAAAATAAGAAAACTAATAAACATACACAAATGATAATTGAATTGAGTATATGAAAACAATTCAGGTAATAATTGATCGGCGGTCTGCTTGAATATCTGGACTACCTGTTACTGCCATCTAGATATTTCAATAAGTTATCTGTTTTCCTGTTTGTTTCAAAACACATCATTATGTCTATTGAGGGTACAACCTATTCAGGAGCATTTATGAAAAGTTTACAACCATTCGCTGGACAGGTTACAAAAAGGTACAATCAGTGACATCAATGTGGCTGGCAATATGCATTGAAACGTGTTGGGATATTCGGAAATATATACCAATAACTATCATGTTAAGTCTAGTGGTGACCTTGGACTTTAAATGGAAATTCCCTATTGGTCAATGTTTATTTCACTTGTTAAATATTGTACAAATGTTGTTTTCTATTTTATGGTACGATGTGGTTTGTTTGATTGGTATGTAAACAGAGTATGTTTGAAATATAATGATTCATATCTCAGAGGCTAAGACTTGCGTTCTGGACTCAACTGGCTGGGCTAGACAGGGAAGCTGGGCCAATCGGGACTCTAGATCGTCCTTACGTGTTTTACGTGTCATTGATCCGATCGATAAACACGCTGCGCATCTAATCTGCAGTCCACACGTTACAACAAAACGAATGAGCAGCATTCAGATGTTGATTATCGAACTGCTAACATCTAACTGGCTATCACTCAGAATCGATCAAGAAATAAGAAAAGGAAAGTTATTGAAATACATTGCGCTAGAGATTCTATATTGTACCAAAAATGTAATATTGAATAAAACTTATAATAATAATAGTAAGAGTATGAAAAAATCCTTGCAAAAATTCAGTTAATTATATCTTGGAATCTCTTTGAGGTACACCATTGAAATTATTTAGGAAACTACGTGACTACATTGTAGATTATAGTAATTACCAGAAAATGTAAATGGCATTTTCATTATCTTTGAAGAAACTGTTGACCAAAAATACATTCATCTTTTTTACAAACATATTCCAGTCTAAAGAAAGGATAATAATACTGCTTAGTTCTCAATTGACATGAGTGGTACAGTAAATCAGAAGAATCTCAATATCAGAAACTTTATTTTCAAGTTCCTGAATAAGATATTTCATCGTATAATCAGTAAATACATCAGTCAGCCAGTCAGCTACAACGTAGGACTAGGCACATATATACATCGGTCCAAGTTGCCACACTTCATTAACACAACAAGATGAACACCGGATTCATGAACGTAGTTAATTAAAAGGTGGTATTATATAAAGAAAGATTTTATATAAGAACATAGTACAGGAAGAAAGAATTAGTCCGTAGAAAGAAAAAAAGCTTAAAGGAAGGTAGAGAGTGTATACACCTACGCCATTGTGATCGATTCTGAGCCATGTCATCCAGAGTCGCCAACCATTGGTTACGACAGTCATGAGGACCCAACCAAATAGTCTCTATCTACCAATATGGCTAAGACTAGAAGTTAGTGACTTTATAGACTGATGCCACGTTTTGGTTTGGCCACCCCTAACTTTCTTCCAACCGTCTCCACCACTAGTCACTTTCGCAAGTATATACCATCGACTATTCAGCAAAAAAAAGAATTATTGATTAAAAGTTCTGACTTAAGAACAGATACTTAACATGATTCATTAATTTAAATGCGAAAACAACAAACTGTAAATCAAATTGGTAATTTGTAAATCCCTATGTTTTCTAATTTTTTTTAAGAAAAAAATAAACAATCTTTAAAAATTTATTCAAACTTTTGTTTACCGCTTTATTTGATTAACGGTTTTCATTTGATTTACATATCTCTTGTAAATATGTATATATTATAGGTGAAATATAGACTGATGTTGGATATTTTGTAATCATATTAAAAGTAGTATATGGTTTGGAAGAATATCAGATTATTTACTTAGAATAAGTTTCAGAAAATAATTCCATCTTTATTTTTACTTCTTGCTAATCACAGAAAAATACTATCAAAAATCTCTGTTCAAACAGCTTATGTATATATACTACTGAAATTCGAAACAATTTCCGAATTAAATTATTCAACACATCATTCATTGGATAAACTAATAGTTATAAGTAAAGATGGATAGTGCTAGTACTGGAATCCAGGATGCGCGTTTCGTCCCATTTAGGACTCATCAGATGGGTATACCTGTATCTCGAATTTGATGTTCACTCTGGGACTCCAACCCAGTACTGTTCGTTCAAGATCCTATCGCATTATCACTTAGCTACTGAGTCTTGATAGCCACTTACTTGTGCATCTTTGATTATAATACTTGTGAGTTAAGGCAATATTTAGGCAATATGTACAGTATGCACATATACCATTAAGAGACTGATCAATTGCAGCCCTAAACATCAACGGGAAGATTTAAGTAAACAGTACTAAGTGAATGTAGACTAATATTTATTTATAAGAAAATTGGTAAATATCTCCAGAATCATTAACATATATCTAAAACAATAAGTCTATAATTCTTGATAGATAGTTCTAAATTTTAATTGTATCTTGATTTGATTGTGAATAGATGTTATGTAATATTTTGAGTGAGTTGTTAGAATTATTTGACAGTAAATATATGTTTAGTATGATGTAATTAGTACATACGAAACTTGTCCAATTGTTAATTCCCCCCCTTAATAATGATATGTAATTATTTAACATCATAAGGGGTTTTTGTGGATATTATAGTGATTTAAATAATTGAGATCATGAGTCAATTGAAGCTGGACCATCATGGAAAACCTGGAAGCACTGGACGTTGAATTTGAAGTTAGGCGCAAACACCACTAGATGCCCGGCATCTAGTGGTTTTGCGCTAACTTCAATTCAACGTCCAGTGCTTCCAGGTTTTCCATGATGGTCCAGCTTCAATTGACTCATGATCTCAATTATTTAAATCACTATAATATCCACAAAATCCCCTTATGATGTTAAATAATTACATATCATTATTAAGGGGGGGAATTAACAATTGGACAAGTTTCGTATGTACTAATTACATCATACTAAACATATATTTACTGTCAAATAATTCTAACAACTCACTCAAAATATTACATAACATCTATTCACAATCAAATCAAGATACAATTAAAATTTAGAACTATCTATCAAGAATTATAGACTTATTGTTTTAGATATATGTTAATGATTCTGGAGATATTTACCAATTTTCTTATAAATAAATATTAGTCTACATTCACTTAGTACTGTTTACTTAAATCTTCCCGTTGATGTTTAGGGCTGCAATTGATCAGTCTCTTAATGGTATATGTGCATACTGTACATATTGCCTAAATATTGCCTTAACTCACAAGTATTATAATCAAAGATGCACAAGTAAGTGGCTATCAAGACTCAGTAGCTAAGTGAATAATGCGATAGGATCTTGAACGAACAGTACTGGGTTGGAGTCCCAGAGTGAACATCAAATTCGAGATACAGGTATACCCATCTGATGAGTCCTAAATGGGACGAAACGCGCATCCTGGATTCCAGTACTAGCACTATCCATCTTTACTTATAACTATTAGTTTATCCAATGAATGATGTGTTGAATAATTTAATTCGGAAATTGTTTCGAATTTCAGTAGTATATATACATAAGCTGTTTGAACAGAGATTTTTGATAGTATTTTTCTGTGATTAGCAAGAAGTAAAAATAAAGATGGAATTATTTTCTGAAACTTATTCTAAGTAAATAATCTGATATTCTTCCAAACCATATACTACTTTTAATATGATTACAAAATATCCAACATCAGTCTATATTTCACCTATAATATATACATATTTACAAGAGATATGTAAATCAAATGAAAACCGTTAATCAAATAAAGCGGTAAACAAAAGTTTGAATAAATTTTTAAAGATTGTTTATTTTTTTCTTAAAAAAAATTAGAAAACATAGGGATTTACAAATTACCAATTTGATTTACAGTTTGTTGTTTTCCCATTTAAATTAATGAATCATGTTAAGTATCTGTTCGTAAGTCAAAACTTTTAATCAATAATTCATTTTTTTGCTGAATAGTCGATGGTATATACTTGCAAAAGTGACTAGTGATGGAGACGGTTGGAAGAAAGTTAGGGGTGGCCAAACCAAAACGTGGCATCAGTCTATAAAGTCACTAACTTCTAGTCTTAGCCATATTGGTAGATAGAGACTATTTGCTTGGGTCCTCATGACTGTCGTAACCAATGGTTGGAGACTCTGGATGACATGGCTCAGAATCGATCACAATGGCGTAGGTGTATACACTCTCTATCTTCCTTTAAGCTTTTTTTCTTTCTACGGACTAATTCTTTCTTCCTGTGCTATGTTCTTATATAAAATCTTTCTTTATATAATACCACCTCTTAATTAACTACGTTCATGAATCCGGTGTTCATCTTGTTGTGTTAATGAAGTGTGGCAACTTGGACCGATGTATATATGTGCCTAGTCCTACGTTGTAGCTGACTGGCTGACTGATGTATTTACTGATTATAAGATAAAATATCTTATTCAGGAACTTGAAAATAAAGTTTCTGATATTGAGATTCTTCTGATTTACTGTACCACTCATGTCAATTGAGAACTAAGCAGTATTATTATCCTTTCTTTAGACTGGAATATGTTTGTAAAAAAGATGAATGTATTTTTGGTCAACAGTTTCTTCAAAGATAATGAAAATACCATTTACATTTTCTGGTAATTACTATAATCTACAATGTAGTCACGTAGTTTCCTAAATAATTTCAATGGTGTACCTCAAAGAGATTCCAAGATATAATTAACTGAATTTTTGCAAGGATTTTTTCATACTCTTACTATTATTATTATAAGTTTTATTCAATATTACATTTTTGGTACAATATAGAATCTCTAGCGCAATGTATTTCAATAACTTTCCTTTTCTTATTTCTTGATCGATTCTGAGTGATAGCCAGTTAGATGTTAGCAGTTCGATAATCAACATCTGAATGCTGCTCATTCGTTTTGTTGTAACGTGTGGACTGCAGATTAGATGCGCAGCGTGTTTATCGATCGGATCAATGACACGTAAAACACGTAAGGACGATCTAGAGTCCCGATTGGCCCAGCTTCCCTGTCTAGCCCAGCCAGTTGAGTCCAGAACGCAAGTCTTAGCCTCTGAGATATGAATCATTATATTTCAAACATACTCTGTTTACATGCCAATCAAACAAACCACATCGTACCATAAAATAGAAAACAACATTTGTACAATATTTAACAAGTGAAATAAACATTGACCAATAGGGAATTTCCATTTAAAGTCCAAGGTCACCACTAGACTTAACATGATAGTTATTGGTATATATTTCCGAATATCCCAACACGTTTCAATGCATATTGCCAGCCACATTGATGTCACTGATTGTACCCTTTTGTAACCTGTCCAGCGAATGGTTGTAAACTTTTCATAAATGCTCCTGAATAGGTTGTACCCTCAATAGACATAATGATGTGTTTTGAAACAAACAGGAAAACGGATAACTTATTGAAATATCTAGATGGCAGTAACAGGTAGTCCAGATATTCAAGCAGACCGCCGATCAATTATTACCTGAATTGTTTTCATATACTCAATTCAATTATCATTTGTGTATGTTTATTAGTTTTCTTATTTTTTATCAAATTGTACATGTTGTTTGTAATGTAAACTTTTTGTGTGCATGTGTGTATGTGTGAAATACATTTTGTTTATACGACGAACATTTGAATGTTGTGAAAAGGTCTAATTTTTTTTATTATTTCATAGTCTTTCCTCTTTTTATCACAAACCTTCATGGGCTCACTTTTGTGCCAATTAAGTTTATGAATTGAATGAATCAGTTTTATATAAGTGAAATGTTATTCATGGTTACTTTTGTATATTTGTACTTATTTTAATGTTTCATCCTTTGCATTTTAATAACTTTGTTACCTGTTGAAATAAGAAGTTTCTAGAAGAACGTCCGTAATCTCTCTAGAAAATGCATGTAAAATATATTTCATTCACTTTTAATTCATTACTAGTGGAATGAGCATCTTCATTAGGTGTACGTCATGTAATACTTCTAAGTACTGTTGTCATGTCACTACAAGAAATTATTTATCCATTATCTAATTATTATTATAAACAAATTCACATGGTGATAACGAATGTATTATCTCTTCTCTTTATTTTCTTATTGTTGTTTCTAGGCTTACATTCACAATTGTATCATATCTAACTGGGGTATTTGTATTTGCTACAATTGTAGGTAAGTGTTAATGATTATAATCCAAATAAATAAAAAAATACTTAATGAGAAAAGTCATCAAATAATACAGATCTGACAGAACTCATCTTATGAAATGGCTATTTGACAGTGAATATTAAATCTGTTTGAAAAGAGATGACAAATAGCTAGAAATAATGGTTTAATGATCATAATCGCATTATTATTATATGATGATAAAATTTACACGATTAGTGAAATTTTACCAGTAACACGATTCATACATCTACCATCCTTTTTGGTCCGAAAGACAATCTGAGAAAATTGTCTTCACTCAATGTGTTTTGAGATTGATAGAAACCGCTTGACGGTCTTGGTTCTAGAGTTCATATTGGTTAATATTTATAAAAAATTCCTATGAAATAAAGATGGATAGTGGATAGCAGTGGAATCCACGACACGCGTTTCGTCCTATTTGAGATTCGTCAGGTGGATGTACCTGCATCCCAAATTTGATGTTCACTCTGAGAAAAAAACTCCAAGTGAATTTAAAACTTACCTCTATTGCTCAAGCAGATGGTTATCAAAAATCAGTAGCTAAGTGGATAATGCGATGGAGTTTGAAGCGAACGGTACTGAGTTCGAGTCCCAGAGTGAACATCAACTTTCAGATGTAGGTACATCCGGCTGATGAGTTTGAAATAGGACGATTCCACTGCTAGACACTATCCATCTTTACTCATAAAATTTGTGAGTTAAGGCAAAATCGTGGCAGTCCGTACAGGAAGCACATATGCCAATAAGAGACTGATCAATTGCAGTCCTAAATAACAATCGGAAAATACATGTAAACAACACTAATTGGATTTAATTTCTATGAAATCTACGTTTCATAATAAACAACAACTCGTGATTCATACATCATCACAATTACATGTGTTACGACCAACTTTGTTTACAACTGACTTATCTACAATAATTGATTTTTTATAATGTCTATATCTTATACTTAAGTCTATTTTAAATAACTTTAACTATTTGTTTTCAAGTTACATTAAATTAATAACAGTAAAGGTATTACATTCATCAGTCTAAGGATATTACTCTTCAGGTTTTATTACGCAATATTGTCTTTATATTCCATTTTAAAACTAAACAGATTAGAAAATAATCTCACTTTCACTGAAACCTAATAAACTTCCATGATTATTTGTTAAAAAAAAATACTTCGTTGTTGAAAGCACTTGAGAATTACAAAACAATGTCAATTTCTCATATTCCTATTTCTTACTTGCTTATGGCTGTTACCCATCGTGAAGGATTATAGACCACCTACCAGCATTCTTCAACGAACTGTATTCTTGGACAATTCTTTCCAGTTGTTATTCATCTTTTTGATGTCTACTTCCAAATTAGTTGAGACAATTTTAGTAATCTCAAAGTACATTATGATAGAAATAAGAACTTAGTCAATGAAAGCAAAATAAAAGACTGAAAGTTGATTGTGATTTGTAGATAAAAAAAAGAAAATGATTTTATGTAAAAATAGACATCAACCTGTACTTGAAGTATGATGAATGAAAGATAAAACACACACCTTATCACTTAAGTCTTCAAGATAGAAATTATCAAACAATAGTAATATATATAAATCCTTTTTAGCTAGTGCATATTTTCCTTACTTTCTAGATTGTTGAAACGTTTGAATAAAAAATTTTACTTACACCAACATTTAAACAGACAAATAAGACCCTCAGTGTCTAGTGGTTTAGGCGCCCGTGCGCGAGACCGATAAGTCTAGGGTTCGAATCTCGCGAGGTGAGATCTTGAATCCTACAATAGGACGAAACAGCTATCCAATGATTCCAGGTTTTCCATGATGGTGTAGCTTCAATTGAGTCATGAACTCAACTATTGAAATGTAATTATTTATTAATTTTCTGTAAAAACAAATGAAATAGATTCCATTTATCTTAAATATTTGATTGTCGGTTTTCTTTGAGTAAAAGTGTTATTTAAGAAACTAAAATATTCCATAGAATGTTCGTAACAAACATGCTTTAATACAGTAAATTATAATGAAGAAAAATACAACATTCATTCATGCAACAACTATAGTGTAAAGTGATACGACATTGATGAAAAGGAAAACATATTGAGCATACCATAAATTCGACACTGAATTCTCATGATCACGAACACTAGATAGGTAGTTATAAGAGAAAAATAAATAACAGATTAAGAATAAATTTAATAATACGAGTTTTTGTATTGGGTTGTACCCTTCTATGTTGTTTAATCTTTATTTGTCTATTCACAGCTCGAGAAAGCTTAATCTGGCTCACTTTTTTCTGTTTGAATATTACTTGAAACCAAATATCTAGGTCAAATTAGAGTGAGCAAGAATACAAGTGGGAACGACCAAATGCATAATTACAGAATCGTTTAGTAAAATCTGAGAACTATACAGTAAATAATTCATTTGCAAATTACCCATCAATTGTCTTAGACTTGACTGTTCCTTCGTTTCCACACCAATCATTCTCTGTTCTCATTCTTTTCTTTTCGATTTTTCTAATCTTCTAATACTAGGCATTTCACTTTTCATTGGTGATACATACTACTTATATCTGTCGACTTCAGTAACGCACATCATAATATTATGTATGACTCTTTGTAGTTCAACAAAACGTTTTTTGAATTTCTTAGTAGTAAATGATGTCGTTATTACAGTTCCTTAGATTATTGTAACCCAATTTTTTTCATTCTTTTTTCCATACAGTATGGTTACAATTAGTCAATCTTTATAAAATTGACTATTTATTACTCGCTACATGTCCATACTACAAATTAGGACTTTAGAAATTTAAGAGGACAGTTAATATATTTCTTTTGTGTAGCTTAATTTATATCTACTTCAAGTCAAATGTACTGTTGAGCTGATAACTTATCTACTCTATGCACACACACAAACGATCTATCAAAAATTATAACTACACATAATGAATAAATATTATGATCTGAAGTTCTAACTTAACAATGACTGAATAATATTGTCATATAGATCTGAAAGCAATTACGAATAACAACATAATATCATTAATACCAAAGTAAGAACATAAGAGTAACATTATAAATAATGCAAACATGTACCGAATAGTGAAATCATTTAATGAAATACAATATCTTATGCAGACCTATAGTTTGTAGTGGCTTTGTTCATTAATCAATTATCTCGATAACCGTTATAATATAAATCTCAACGGTTCTTGAAATCAGAAGTCGAAGAGATAAGGCAACTATAGTTTATTACCGATAACTCAGATCACAAAGATATAAACACATCGAGCGTATTTGAAACGAAGTGGCGAATAAGTATATATGAGCAAATACATAGGTGAATTTATAGTCAAATTGCATAAGAGTGAAGTAAGCAAAACCAAAAGCTAATAATAAGATTTGAGTACACACATACATGGGGAGTAGGATGAATCATCGAGTGATATTTAAGCAATCAACATTTTAGAAAGTCTGTCATGTGCTCTAGTGATTATAACAATACAAAGAAATATGCGAGTTGTTACGGTTCAAATAACATTTTCTCTTAAGTAAGTGAATAACAGGTCTTCATCAAAAACTAACCATAATCGAAATTGGTTGTAGAATAGTTTCTATAATTTTTTTCATCATAAAATTTATTAAAAGATTTTATTCAAATGAATAATTCCTAGATGACTGTTAAATTCCAGTGACTAGCTTGTTAAATCTTGAAAGAACGTCATAAAAGTATTTTTCTTCAATAAGTAAGGCTAAAAGAAAACGTGTAACATTACAATAATTCACACTGACAATGCGTTGTGGTCCAGTCGGTTAAGCGTTCACGCGCGAGACCGAAGGCCCTGGGTTCGAATCCCGCTCGCGGGATCGTGGATGCGCACTGCTGATGGAGTCCCACAATAGGACGAAACGGCCGTCCAGTGCTTCCAGGTTTTCAATTGTGGTGGTCTAACATCAATCGGTTCATGATCTCAATCAAAAACTTAATAATCTCCACAACCCCTATACTAGTACTTTATGATTGTTAGATTTTATTAACAAGTCCTGTAATTTTGTGTTCACTACACTTTTACTGAATGTGGTAAAAGTATATCACATGATACAAGAACTCAAACCATTGGGTGTTATCCATGCTCTGTATTACGGAATCACTTTTAAAGGATTCTAATAGTTACAAAACTCATATACTGTAAACGTTCGGTTTGAAGTGGTTAAGATTATGTTAGGTCTGGACCAACCTAAATTTAAGTGAATCGCTAAACTGTACATAAGAAATATCCTATCATTAAAATAGCATTCTATCAGTTATTTTCTTATTATCATACTAGTATCATATGGTAGGTCTTTTCATATTTACCCTTCATTCTGGTATTATTGGTATGTACATTTCATATGTGTTAGTGAGTGGGTGATACACTTTTAATTTTATATTCATGATTGGTTTGTAAGAGTCAACGATTTACTATAGTTACATTCTCTCAAAGAATAACCTGGGTTATAATGCCTATGATAAGTAATTGCACAGTGCACATTTACTGAAGATTGAAGAAAGTAACATTTGACTAGTATTTGGTAGCACTTAAACTCTTATCATTTATTATTTTTTTTATTTTTCAAAGAACTAAAATAATGATTGCTGAATACTCCAATCTTATTTTCAGTAAATCAATGTTCTTCACAATATCAATTGTTGATTAAGTCTATAACCTTTTCCATGAATATTAGAAATCCAACACCCATGGAAAAGTATTCAACTGAACAAACAATAAGTAGTTGATTATATATTTCAATATACCTTGGAAACTAGTTTCAAACAAAAGATAGTAATGTGTTATCACTATTTTTTATGACGTAATTAATCACCAAACCTTCCTTAGAAACAGTGTAGATTTGTTGAAGATACATTTATATACATATTTTAATTGTTTTTGGAAAACAAAAATTAGTTTCTCACTTGAAAACTAATGTATAAATCTATATGTGGACTTGGTTCTTTGACACTATCTCTATAATTTGACATTTGATTTTGTCTCTATGCGTTCTAAATGAAAGTACGTTTTGAATGATTATGACGATGTCAAGTTTTGTAACCATAGGTTTCTTTCCAATTTTTTTTGAAAACTGTATTATTAACATATGTTAAATATGTTTACAATGAAAGTCAACAGCATCTATCATTAATTGAGTTTTCAAAGGCATTTAATTAACATGGGCCGCATTCCTACAATCGCAGAACATATGGAACTCAAAACAACTTTCAACCAATATCAAATTCACAATCCTCAATATGAACGTCAAGACAGTCCTACTGTACGGAGCTGAAACTTAGAGAACTACTACAACCATCATCATGAAGGTATAAGTATTTATAATGGTTGTCTACACAAGATACTCAACATCGATTGGCCGGATACCATGAGCAACAGCCTACTGTGGTAAAGAACAAACCAGTTTCCAGATGAAGAGAAAATTAGGAAAAGACAATGGAAATGGATAGGATATACATTAAAGAAAACACCGAACTGCATCACGAAGGAAGCACCAACTTGGAATCTTGAAGGAAAGAGGAGAAGAGGAAGGCCAAAAAACACATTACATCGGGAAATAGAAATCGATATGAAAAAGATGAATAACAACTGGAAAGAAGTGGAAAGGAATGCTTGGCACAGGGTTGGATGGAGAGTGCTGGTGGGCGTAACAAGAGTAACAGTTGTAAGTAAGTAAGTAAATTTGATAAACATATAGATTAGACTTAGGTTTATAACTTTCAGCCATCACATGTGGTTGGTTTCAATATAATTCAACATAAAAACATTTGAAATCATCCCTTGAATGTTACTTAATTTCATAATATTATCTGTAACTATCTTTTACTGTGTGATTCTACTGCTGTTTTATGAAGGTTTTATAGCTAATTTTTAAAACATTCAAGCTTTAAAAGCGTGTAATTTAAATACTTGGTTAACATTTATGAAAAGTGAATTGTATCTTTATACTCTTAGTCGGTGTAGACGCCAAAATTTATTCGTAACAGACATACATCTGTAAGAATCATAAGAATGTAATGAATAAATTGTATACATAACATAAAAATATAATGTAGCAATAGTAGTAACAATATCAGTAAAATCCGTTATAACAATAAAATTGTTAAGTTAAATAGGATACATTATCCAGGTGCAGAAATTGAAATGTTTATGAAACTGCCATTCATATTCTCCAAAATCTATCTTTTAAAGAAAAAAAACTGTGTATAAAACACTCAGATATGTCCCAAAACAAAAATCCTAACCATGGATACATAACTAAATGATACATCCTAAACACATAAAATGGAGGATGTAAGTTTTATTGTGTAATAAATATTTAGTTCAGAAGGGTTTTCGTGAATATTAAAGTTATTTCAATGGTTCAGATCATGAGTCAATTGAAGCTAGACCACCATGGAAAACACGGAGGCATTGACAGCTGTTTCGTCAGATTGTGGGGGTCCTCATCAATGCGTATGCAGTTCCATAATTGTTAACCAATATAGCAGCTCATATACATTCGAGTTTGTTCACATTTATTTGGTTAAGTCCTTTTGTTAACTTATTTAACGGACAGAATCATTCGTACAATAACAACTTATCTATACCATAGCACCTTTGGTAATGTTGCGCTTGTATGAATATGTATGTTTGAGTATTGCTTACCGCCTACGCACATATTTATTATGCTAGCTTTAATGTTAGTCGCATAATTGATTCGATGGTTCATTTATTTCCCTATATATATTTTATTTCTATTCATTGAATTCGCACGCTCCGTCGTTCGCTTGCTTTTCGGCATTAGCCTATCATTCTTGTTTGTGATTTTGGTGATCTGTGCGTCGTGCACCAATCAACGCAATCAACAATTCGTACTCGTCTTACCTATTTTTACACCGTTAAGAACATTATCTCGTAACGGTTATCAGGACCGACTGTTTACTAAGTTTAGGGATTATATCAAATACTGACCACTACACCAATGTAAAATTTAAACACAAGATTATCATTTCATGCAATAAGTGATTATGGCATTAGAATAGAATAGCTGATGACTAAGCTTGGAATATATACAGCAACTAATCAACTTTTATTCAATACTCATTATGGTAATT